CCCATATGACACATGTTTGCCAGGCTTCTGTGAGAAATGAGAGCTGATGGGAACTGTATTCTACTTTGTGTGTGTTTTCTGTTAAAAAGGTTCATTTTAAACATTCTAAAAGGGCTTGGTAAATGATTAATCAGTTCTTGCAGAGTTTGACAGGGCAATAGTTTGTTTATGACTTATTATGTTCAGCTATCTATGGTGCTTTCTGCTATGATACATTGTATATGCTCCCTTTGAGCACCCGAGAGTGACTAAGTGTCTGATAACCTGTAACAAAAAGAATTTCAGTATAGAAAACTATCCCTTTATTTAAAGAAAGAATTGTCTCCTGATGGGTTCCTTGATAAGTGATGGTCTCCTTGCACCAGCAGGTAGGTAAACATCTTGGATTGGTGAAAATCTGAGGATTCGGGCATCACACAGCTGGAACCTGACCTGAGACCTTCTGCTACATATGCCAAGAGATCACGGGGGTTGCTGGGGACAGATTTGGTCTAGAGGAAGGAGACTCCGGGGGAAGGTGCACTGAGGGATTTAGGTGTGTAGCTGCCCTTCAAGCTGGCTGACGTGTTTCATCTCTTGAAACTCTTGAAGCTTCTGTTTACCTGTAAGAGAGTCTAAAGTCCTGGCTCATTTTCTGCATGTCACGGCACTGGATATGTCAATGTTTAATCTGCGCGTGCTTAGATCCTTGGGGTGAGGAATCTCAGCTTCTTTCTGCCTGGAGGACCAACAGTGCCAGATCCATACCAGACTAGCACCTGATCAACCAGCCCAAATATAACACAACAGTGCCTGTATCCCTGGGACATCTGGCTTTCAGGGCACTACAGGAGCATTTGTGCCATCCTTGCTTGGAAGCACTTGTACTCTCTGTGGGTTAATAAAGTACTCACTGGAACAGAGAGGCTTTGCAAGGACCAGTTAGTCATGGGTTAGGAACACTGATGCCATAACCCCATGAATGGAGCAAGGGTAGGGCTGGATCTGGGCTCTGGGTCACCTCTGTGCACCCCCTGTCAAGAGTCCCTCTCATCCCCCCTGGGCAGCAATCAGGCTGCCAGCTAGGTCTGCAGATGTTTAAGAATCTCATGAGATGTAAGTCCTGAAGGATGGAAGGGCAGCTTCAGAAATTCCTTTTGCCTGGTGCAATCTATCCTGGGAGTCCCAGCTTCATGCTGTGCTGCCTCCAGATGTGCCAGTGCCTGCACTCCCTCTGACCACCCACACCTCACCTCTTCTCTGTGAGGGGCAGGGCTGGGATACCAACTTGGCATCCCACAACATAACAGGAGTTAGGAAAACCCAAAAGACCCTGGGGACAGGACAGCTTGGCTCAGGAGTCCTGGCTCCCTCATATTCCACTTTTCTACCACTGGTCTTCTGCTCCTGGGGAAATCAAGATGTTTAAAGCAAGTATCAGGGAGTGAAATCACTACATAGAAAGCTTGGAAACTTTCTTCGTGTCCTTTACTGTTGTAGGGATTTTTGAGTCACGATGTCCCTGTGTTTTCGAGTTTTTTTATGTGTTGTTTAATATTAACAAAAAAAACAAAAGGAAAAGGGATAGCCTATCTTTCTGTTCCTTGTTTTTTCACCTTGGAAAATGGTGCAGCTCATTTCAGAGGAGACTTCTGTCTCGAGGCTGTTTGGGAGGGAGAAAGGAGGAAGGAAGAAGGAGAGGAAAGCTCCAAGGTCGGCAACTGAGGACCGGCACAGCACATAAAAATCTCTTCAAAGTAAAAGGTTCTTTTGCCAAAACACAAGGGTTTCAGTGTAAACCACCTGAGCTGGATTCAAAGCCGTGTCAGGAGCCAGGCCAACACAGGGGAGGCTGCCAGGTCTGAGCACTTTGGAGCTGCCAGAGTGTCCCAAATGCATGTAACCCAGCCTGCTCTCCAAACCCACCCCTGTCCTGGATCACCATTTTTTTGAGGCAGCAGTAACCTCCCTTCTCTCACTTCCCTACGCCAGCCAGGACTTGCCTGGGAATGCTTTTTGTCCACTCCAGCTCTTTTTCTCAGCAAAGCCTCACTCACCCCAAGAATGCATTACAAAAACCAGCCAGGCAGCTAAGTTGGGCAGTTGGGGATCTGCTCTGATCGATCCCAAAGGTGGTGACCTCTGGCATTGTTAATGGCTCTCTGGGTGGCTTATCATCTCTGTATACCTAGATACTGATGTCATGGTGACACAGGTAAATACACCCAGCACGTATTGCTGGGCACAGCTCGGATAAGCAAGCTGGCTCTTTTCTCACCTTTCCATATAGGCTGCTCCTGCAAATTTGCATCCTGGCAAGATCACACAGATCCCAGGACGGGCCGGGGGAGCTGTGAGCCCAGCTGCACAGAGTGTGTTGCCTTGAGCCTCCAGCCTCAGTTTCCTCTGCCTGTGTTTTTGTTGGCAGTGGATACTCAGCTGTGCAGCACAGGCTGGCTTGGTGATGCTTGATACAGCTGGAACATGTGTCACCTTCTGTGCATATCTCAACAAAACAAGGTTTTAATATAGTCCTGGTCTTGCAACAACTTCAACTTAACCTGTCCTCAAGCTCTGTACCAAAATATCTTCCATCCCTATTGCACTGTAGTGTCTTCCCTGGCATAAGCCCAGGAGCTAGAGAATTATAATAAATTAGGACAATTGAATTACAATAAAAAACAGATATACATATGTAGGGAAACATTCTCTTTTGCCCCTGCCAGGGTAAGAGGGGCTGTCCTGGGGTGATGGCTCTGACACAGGTAGCATGGCAGGCTCTGCCCAGCTGCCCCAGAGAAACACATCCCCACAAACCCACATCTCCATGCAGCTCAGGAAAGGAACAAAGTGCAGGGAGATAAAACATCACTCACCAGCTGCATCCCCAGAGGGTGGTGGGGAATAGCGGGTGAAGCTGGAGACCTCAGCGCAGCATTTCTCTCTGTCTGAAGCAGAGAAGTTGTGGATAGGAGGGGAAATCCAGCAGGGCTTATAATTAATGTAAAAACAGATCAGCTTGTGAAGTCTAGCCTGTACGCTCAGGTACCAGGCACTTCCCCTGGCCCCACTTGCCTCCAGGCTCTGGTCTGACTTTCATCCCTTCATCCTTGCTCTGCAGGATGCAGCGAGGTTGCAGCCAAGAGAGGGTCATGGGAATCCTGGCACAGATCTGCTCCAAAAAAAGCTCAGCCCAGCTGCCAGCGAACAGGCTGCCACTGGAGAGCAAAGTGAGCCAGAGCCACAGGGCTGCAGACAGAGCGGAGGAGCTGCGGCCCTCAGTAAGATTTAATTGGGTTTCTTGGTGTTTATAGCCCTTTGTTTCATGAAATAACATTGCAGATATGAGTGGCCAAGCTTTGGAAAGGAGGCTGTGAACACCTGCCTGCAACATCCAGGATTTCCTGTCCACCAGTTGGAGTAAAAGAATTCAGCAGCCAAGTTTCTGCAAAGCAGTCATGGACAGTCGGGTTACTCACCGCCTGGGAAAACATGGAAATGCTCCAAAGGGTGCTGCCAAAGAAAGGCCTGAAAATGTCATACCTGTGAAGCAGAAGCCCTCCAAGGAGCTGAGGCCCATGCTCGGGGCCATCTTGCTGGGCCTCATGCTGTTCATCGCCGCAGTGGTGGCCTGGTGCTACTACACGGTGTCCCTGCGGAAGGCGGAGCGGCTCAAGACGGAGCTGATGGACCTGCGGGCGGACGGCTTTGTCATCAGGAACCAGCATGGGGAGGTGGTGTTCCGGCTGGCCTTCCGCTCGGGCAGCCTGGACCTGGAGTCGTGCTCCAAGGAGGGCGAGATCCTGAGCTGCACGCGGTCGAG